TTGTGTACCAGTTCTCTATATTCACTTCTTCCAAAAAGTGCGATTGGTTCTGAACACGCATTCATCAATATAATCAAATATTATGTACGAATAGTCTGACTGTTCGTTTCTATGCGAGCTACTGGTCGAAAACAATTTTAGAGTCCATTTTTAAAAGCTTTATTAATAAGTAGTGGAGTAATAGATAGCGGCTCGGATTGAGGAATCGGAGAACCAAGTTCGATTTCCAGTTGAATCCATTGCATTCACTTACGTGCTAATAACTTTGGGAAATGTATGAATCCTCTTCTTCTCCCTCTTCTATGGGTAAATAGCAATACAGATCGGGTTCTATAGCGTTGGACGCCAACTGGTCTATCGCAGAAAATAATGGCAACCTACTGCGGGAAAAAATCTGCCTCGTCACGCATGGCGCATAACAGACTTGTATGTTTATAAATCTATTACTCCTCCGTGCATTGAATATTAATGTCATATCTAGTCGGGTACTCGTTCTGTATATCTCGAGCTTCTCAACAAAACCTAAAGGAGTGTTTGTAACATTATCGGTCATGACCTGGCATCTCGTCATCAGTCACTTTCTCGCCGCAGTAACGTAGGCTTACTGTGTGTATGTGTATGTGTGTGTTTTTCTATATCTTATCATGGTAGTTCTTTAAATGTGCTTTCCCTTTGTGTACATCGACTTCATGAATTTAAGCATAGTACAGGACTGGCGGATAGGTCTCATCCTATTGCTGTTAAAACGAAGTAACCGTAAGTTTTATTCTAATAGTTTCTTCTCCTGTACATATCTTCTATCTTCTTCCTTTCTTGTTAACTACGATCTTACGCGTTTTAAACAAAATAAAAAAAATGCGTGATAAGGAGATAACCACACGTACAGAGAGTAAAATACATTTTTGTTATTTTTCATATTTAATTTAATATTAATAAGCTGGAAAGTTTTGGGGTTTTTTTTAGGAACAAAGAAAAATAATTGATTTCTACAGTATATTCAGCCACTACAATTCCACGGTGCAGTCCCTTGAAATATTCGAATCGACTTAAGACGACGTCAACCAAAAATCTGAGGAAGCAAGATCTGGACTGTAGAGAGGGTGTGGGA